ACCCAGAGGGATCGGGTGGAGAGGGAGGTGGGAGGGGGGACCGGGATGGGGAATACATGTAAATCCATGGCTAATTCATTTCAATGTATGACAAAAACTACTGTAATGATGTAAAGTAATTAGCCTCCAACTAATAAAAATAAAAGAAAAAAAAAAAAAAAGAAAAGAATGGCATGGTACAAGGATGGGGAGGAAGGTAGACACATCATTCAGAGCAGGGAAGGCGTGGCAAGTTACAAATTGCTGTTATCTCTAAAAATTGAAAAAACTTATAATTAAGGTGATGTCTTGTTCTTTGATACATTTGGAGGTCTCTTAACAGAGGAGCCTACACAGGCAGCTATCTGGGGGAAAAGGAAGGCGCTAGCCAGGAGAAGCCAGCTGGTTATGATATGAAGAGCAACAGATCGTTAGGAGGAAGATGGGTAAAGTGAAAAGCAGCAAGCAAGATGGGTTTGTGGTACAGCAAAGTATTCCTTGGAGAGCCCTAGAAAACACTTAAAGACGGGAATCTGCTCAGAGGCCAGTTCCATGGACAAACAGGATGTGGACTTTGGTTAACTGACCATTAAAGGGTACAGTATGCCCTGAGGACTAGAGAAATTAAGAACATTGAGAATAGTTGCTTGTTTTCAGAGCCATTTTAACCACAAGATTATGCAATCTCTGAGAACAGGGATGTCAGTGAATGCAGGAATTATATCTTATTTATATCTCTTTTCAGTGTTTAGCACAGAATGTGGCAGATAATAGGGATTCAATAAAAATAGCCTAAGCAAATGGATACAGAGGGATAGAAGAATGGATGACCATTAGTTGAGTGTGTAGGGAGGTGGGTGGATGATTGAGTGGATGAATGGATGATCATTGTTGTTTAGCTGGTAAATTCTGTCTGACTCTTTGGCGACCCTACAGACTATAGCTCACCAGGCTCCTCTGTCCACGGGATTTCCAGGCAAAAATACTGGAGTGGGTTGTCATTTCCTTCTACAAAGGATCTTCCCATTGGCAGGTGGATTCTTTACCACTGAGCCACCAGGGAAGCCCATGGATGATCATTAGAGGCAAGGTGAATATTTAAGGCTTCACCATCATTATTACACAAAAAACCACTGTGTAAAATCCTACTGAGCCCCTGTAAGTTACTTTTCTGAAATCTGACCTCTAAACTCTGACAGAGGATAATGTAGTTAGTTACAAAATTAATTTGATTCAGCCTGAAATCCAGCAGTGATGCTCAACCATATAATTCCATCTTTTCTGTGACCAGACACTCCCTACTTCTGCTAGCCCTGACATCAGGAGATTCTGCTTCTAGCAAAGACCAGACATGCCCCTCTAGGACTGGCTGCTCCCAGTGATTCCTCAAAAGAATGGTGCCCAAAACAGCTGAGACACAACTTAGTGACTGAACAACATTTCCCATCATTTTAAGGTTGGTAACCTGACCTAGGCTTTGCCAATTAGATTCCCTTCCAGGAGATTGCAACATTTGAATTGAGAGTTAGGAGAAAGCACTAGGGAATCAAGTTAATTGCAGAGGCCTGGGTAGGCCATTCAGATGTAAAAGATTGCTGCTTGGACGCCCAGGGCTTCTCTTTCTGAAGCTGGGGTGTTCAGCTCCTTCTCACAGTCACGAAGCTGCCAGTTCCTGCAGGAAGCTCACCCACTGGAAGCTTTCCAACAAATGGTAGCAGCCATGAGGATTCCCACGACCCTGAGTGTGAGGGGACTGTTTACCTGAGAGGAATTGCATTTCCTCATCTCCTTCTCCTTCTTGGCCAGACGCTTCTTTTTCTTGTGAAGAGGCTTGGACTCCAAAATCATTTCTTCGAGTTCAAAGGTGGGGTCACAATTCAGCCTGCCTTTCTGCAAGGAAGACAGGTTGACTGATTCCTTACATTCCTGTCTAAAAATAAACCGGACTGAATAAGGAGAATAAAGCTCAGTCCTGCACGAACAGTCCAAGAATAATGAGCTGGGATTTCCACGCAAAGTTTCAGGTAATTTATCGCCAGCCTTGTTTTTCATGTTCTTTTTGTATTTTGTTTATTTTGCTAAACTCCCAAGGAGCCTTCCAGGAGTTAGAAAGGAAATCCTATTATAATTATCTTTCTAAAGTTTGCCCTTTGGGGCTATGTTTCTCAAAGTAGGTTCAGTGGTGGATCAGAATCACCCTAAGTTGATCCCTAATTCCCCAACCAGACTTCCAGATCAGTGTTTCTGAACACCAGGCCAGGAAATTGCATGTGTAACAAGCTCCCCAGATGATTCGGGTTCACAATTAAACCAGAGAAGCACGCACACAAGGTCTCTGGAGGCAGCGCTGAAGGGGTGGCACGTGAAAGAGTAGAAACTACAGGAAAGGTGCCTAGATCTCCAAGGCCTCATGTGTCAGCCAAGAAGCGGTCCCTGCTGGACCCCAGGTAGGACCCCACCTCCTGCTGCTCCAGAAGGTGGCATTCCCCCATCCCAGAATTCCGCCCCCCTCATTGCCTTCTGGTGCCTCTTGCTTTGTACCCCACCCACCCATCTGCTGTTTGTATGTGAAGGATCACAGCCCCACATGCCCATAGCAGGTGTCTGGCCTGGGCTTAAGAACAGAAAACTCTGAATTGTTTCTGCAGGCTCCTTTAAGAGATGATGATTCTGCCAATCTGCCTGCAACTGAGTGAGTAGAATCAGGCCATGGGGAGAGAGGGGTAGAGGTCTCACTTGGCTCCTTGGCTGGAGCTCAGTAGATGCAGGAAGCCACAGATGTTTTTTGGCTAGGTGGGACTTATTTCCCTTTGCTTATTAGTCACTGAGAATATGGTTCCCAGTGTAGAACCACCAATGAAAGTGAAGTCGCTCAGTCATGTAGGACTCTGTGACCCCATGGACTGCAGCCCACCAGGCTCCTCTGGCCATGGGATTTTTTTCCAGGCAAGGGTACTGGAGTGGGTTGCTATTTCCTTCTCCAGGGGACTTCCCAACCCAGGGATCGAACCCAGGTCTCCCACATCGCAGGCAGATGCTTTACCATCTGAGTCCCCAGGGAAGTCCAAACTACCAGAGGAAGAGGAATGAATGGTAAAAACAAATACCCAACCCAAGCAGCTTTCAATCCTTTGACTCACAAAAGTCCTTGGATACAAATGCCTACATCTTTGGAATCAGAGAAAATGCTTTAAATTGGCAGATTCCTGGAAAAGACTATTTGTAGGGTTAGGACTTGTTTCCACTAAAGGTAAGCCACAAAAAAGTAGTTAGGAGCTAGAACTCCCAACACTGACCTAGACTGGAATCCCAGCTTAGCCACCTGCTAGCCATGTGACCTTTGTCAGCCAACTTTCCCTGTGTGTGCCTTGGTTTCCTCATCTGTAAGACAGGAACATTGACTGTCTTACAACACTGGTGTGGTTATCTGATGAGACCATGTGTGTATCTGGCACACAGAAGAATATGCAATGAATGAGAGCTATTAAGGGTTTATTAGGATTGACTCACGTTAGGAACAAATCCTGGAATGAGCCTCTTCTGCAGAACTGCATCCCAGTTCATATCATTCATATATGGGAAGTTTTGAATATCAGACAAATGGGAAAATCGGTGGTCCGGATTCAGTTCAAGTAGCTGCCAATGGAATACAAACACCAAGATCATGAACATGGTCAAAACTTGGGGAGCAAAAAATCATAAAGATTCCCTATAAATATTTTCAGGAATAGGATTGAAGGAAACAAGCAGTATTTTCCTTCCTTAGTCCCACAAACAAATAATAGAGATAATCATGAGTGGTCAGAATGAGTTGTAAGTTGGTCATGTGGTGAGTGAAAACAGCTTGTCCTCCTGAGTCAAACATGTTTGACTCCTGATTCCGTAACTGATTGATGATGGGCAAGTTTGTTCTCTAAACCTCAGTTTACCCATCTGCAAAAAAGGGATAATAACCTATTTCGTTAGGTTTAGCTATGACTAAACATGGCCATGTTCAAATAAGGCCATGTTTAAAGTGACTAAGAAATCTGTTCTTGAGTGGAAAAAATGTACACTGATTTTAACACATGAAATTCATTTCACACTAAAAAGTTTAGCAATGTTTATAACTAATCAATATATACTGGGAGTGACACAGATGTCATTAAGATTACTGCAACAGTTCTGGGTTTTGTGAACTGAGATTAAAGATTTTGTTTCCTCACTCGAACCACCCTAGAACCAATATCATTACGGTCCTGTGGCTTGGATGGGAAGGAGCAGTTCCACTTAAGAATGGGCCTGAAGGTGATCACTGTGGGTCATCAGGGTACAATTCTGGGGAGAGAAGGCTGTCTTGGAACTAAGGAAAATTTTTTTATGGAAAATGACTTCTGGCCCCATTCTTTATTTTTTGACATCGCCAACAACAGAATATCCCTATTGGAAAACAGAACACTTGACCCAGAGACAAGAGACACAGGCTTTGAAGTCTTAGTCCACAAAGCTCTTTTCTTTGACTAGCTACAACATGTGCAGTTTTCTCTCTTCAGAAAAAAGGCAAGTTCATCCTCTTGGGCTCCTCAGTTTTCTTTCACACAATACACATGATTGAGATTCTGCCTCAATTATCCTTAATCTTCCTGGTGAACATGGGTACATTGAAAAATCTGATGAAAATCATTGGACCTCATTAGTTCAAATTCCAAATTTTACCACTTGTCAGGCTGTGTGTTAGGTGCTGAGGACACCATGGTGACCAAGTCAGATGTGGTCCTTCCCTTGTGCAGCTTGAGAGCAACGCTATTAACCCAAAAGTCACACGTGTGCAATGTGTAATTTCAAACTGTGAAAAATATGATGAAGGAAAGTTCATGCTTGTGTGAGCTGACATTAGAGGGAGGCTCCCTGAAGAAGTGAGATTTGAGCTGAGATCTAATGCTGTGTTTCTCAAACTATGCAGAAGGGCTAGATATTTCTCTTTGGTTTAATTTCCAACCCACTGAAACCAATATGTGGTGTTACTGTGTGTGGCTAGTATGGAACTCCACACCGTGTGCAACTGGTGATTTGAGCATGACATCACCACATAGTCTGGTACCCTGTTCAGTGAGAGGAGTCCACTGACCATGTGCTTTGAGGCATCAGCAGCATCAAACTGCTATACAAGTTTTTTTTTTTTTTAAACACTTCTCTCAATTTCTATGTTTTGTTATGGACCCGGTGGGGAGTAATTAATGTACTTGGACCACTTAGTGAATCACATTGAGTAGTAATAATCTAAAGAAGGGAGCCAGAAGAACTGGGGGTGGGAGCAGTGTTCTAGGCAGTGAGATGAGCACGTGCAAAGGCCTGGGGCGAGAGACTGGCATATGAGGGTGAAGTCGGGGAGGGGAAAGAGAAGGGAAAGGAAGCACAAGGCAGTTTGTGTCACCAAACGGGGGACGAAAGTCTAAAATAAGACTCGAGGGGTGGTTAGAACCTTAACACCATACAAATTATTTTGATCTTTATCCTAAGAACAATAGGAAAACAATGACCTGTGCTTTGAACAGGTCCCTGTGGGGCAGAGCAGAGAGCAGAATGGAGTGTGTAAAAGTGTACAGGGCAATCTAAACTTGATGGCAGTAGGACTAGGAAGAAGATAGCAGGCGAGAGGGAGAGAAGTGTCAGATTCAAAAGGTATTTAAAATGTCAAATAACAGAACGTGATGATGGAGTGGATATGAGGATGATGAGTGATTTCCGGTTCTGCCTTGTATAAGTGGGTGGATGGAGAGGCCAGTGACTGAGTGAGGGAATGCTGGAGAAAGTCCAGGAAATGCAGAGTTCAAGAATTCCATTTGGGGCACATGGAATTTGAAATGTCTTTTGAGACATTCAAGAGGACACGCGTATTGCCTTATTAATGAAGCCAGGTATTTGGAATCTGTTAGCTGCAAAACCCACTCCAGAAATGCATATTATTATGACAGCCTCCAGTATCATAACCATTTTTTTCATTTTGATGTGGACGGTTTTTTTTTAAGTCATCATTTAATTTGTTACAATATTGCTTTAATTTTTTATGTTTTGGTTTTTTGATGGTAAGGCATGTGGGATCTTAGTTCCCTGGCCAAAGCTTGAACTCCCAACCCCTGCATCGGAAGGCAAAGTCTTAACAACACTGGACCTCCAGGGAAGTCCCTGTAATTTAACCTTCAAACTAGATCACTTGCTTCTTTTTATCACTTCCTTTTGTCCTGCATTCATCCTTCTTACCTTTTTAAGAAGGGATACCATCTCCTGTGACCAGGCAGAAGGGTAAGTCACTAGTGCTGTCTCAAACATGTGTGCAATTTCCTTGCTGGAAGTACTGGAGCGAATATGATACGGTCTCTTAAAAGAGAGAAGTGAGAGTCTTCATTTTTATAGGGTAAAAGGAAAAACATTGCTTTTTAAAAAACATTTAGCTTGTTTCCAAGCTAAATTTTCAACCAATAAAATATCAGTAGGATTTTCTAATCCCCTCCAGCTGATTGTTTTGTTGCCATATGCAGATACAGTACATGGTTGCCACATTTCCTGCTTTTTAAAAAGATACAGAAAGACTACAGTTTCTCAAGTGCGACCCTATGGACAGCAGCCCACCAGGCTCCTCCATCCACAGGATTCTCTAGGCAAGAATACTGGAGTGGGTTGCCATTTCCATACCATATTCGAATTTTTTGCCCTTGGGACCTAGCACCTAGTAAGGGCTCATTATATGTTTGTTGAATGAACAAGATTTTCACATTAGATTAACCAACAATAGGACAGTAACTGTGACTGTGTACATTTATCATGTGCATGGGTCTTTCAAGGCACAATGACCATGGACTGATAAATTGGGAGAAATGAAAGAGCTTAATTTTTCCTTGTTGATATCAGTATTTAAGGTATATGAAGTATATGAAGGTCATATAATATAATTAAATGTTTAAGCTTTGAAGGTAAAAGGATTTGAGTGCTAAACTGAGCCAGTCAATTTTAGTTTCTATTCCTTCTTCTGTAAAATGAATCACTTTAGAGGATTGTTGGGAAAATTAAATGACATGATATGTGTAAAGTTCTCAATAGAGTGAGTGATATATATTAGACACAATACAGGAGAGATGTTATTATTATTGAAGTAAAGGTAAAAAGAGTGGTGGAGATATTGAGTTGGACAAAAGGTTCATTCAGGTTTTTCCAAACAATTTCATAGAAAAACCTGAGTGAACTTTTGGGCCAACGCAATAAATGTAGATCATGAATAGGAAGATGAGTCAGCAATAAAGGTGATGTGAAGGAAGTCTTAATTCTAAACATGCCATGTCAACACCTGTTACCCAGGGAACCAGGAAGTGCTAGGTCTGACTCCCTAAAAGGGAGCCTGGCCAAACTTTATTATTTTTTTTTAATGTGAGGTTTAAAAACACTGCCACATACTTTCTTCCCTCAAGACTGAATAAATGACCATAATTAATTCATCTGTTTCAGTAATGACAGAGTGGAAATAACCCTTGTAACTCAATACCAGAAAAAGAGTCTACCTTATCAACATCATCAATGTTTATTGACTGTTCGCAAGCCGAGGGCTCTGTGGGTCACTACCTGTGACTCACTGCATGTTTACCATTAAGAGCTAGGGCAAGTTGACACACTCAAGCTTCTGGGGTTATATGCGCGTGTGTGTGTATGTTTTCTTTTTTTTTTTAAATTTTCTTCTTCAGTCCACTGATATTTCTAAACCTAATTCTGAGACATGTAAATACACAAAATGCTTTGATAAACTAATAAATTAACTGACAAATGCTATAAGCAAATGGTTTAAGATTATGCTGCATTTTTTCTTTTATTTTAGAAGGTCATAGGACTGAATTCAATATATATATATTTTAAATCCTCATGGTCTGTCCACTGGTTCCAAATAGTCCAATTGCCTTTGTCTTATACAATAACCTATTTTTCTAGTTTTAAATTTTTAAATCTGCATTAAGCCATCAACAACCAGAACTGTATATTTATTCACTTATCAAATATTGATTGAATGCCTGTAATGTTTCAGCACCTCTGCTGGGCACTGAGGATACAATGAAGACAGGACAGATGGTATTTCTACACTGGTGGAGCCTATAGTCTACTCAGTGAAGCCATGAATAATTACAGAGACTGTACAGATATACATACACATTCACACAGAAGTCAATGGGATACGGTGATACAAAGAAAAATAACAGTGTACAATGACAGGATGTAGCAGACAGTTCCAGGGTAGCATATAAATTAAGAATGCGAATATAAAGAATAAACAAGATGGAAAAGGTAAAATGTCAGATGGGACAAAGTATGATTCTAATCTTATTTCAGGAGTACAAAAGCAAAAGAGCTCCAGCCAAGGATGTACAATTAGTGCAAAACAACATATGTCCCTATCATAAGCTAATACTATGGATATTACGACTAGAGAAGATGTGGATCTTGCCTTTACAATGTGAGCTGGGACACAGAGAATGACAAAGAAGCTTAAGGGCTAAGGGACCCATTCATCAAGACCATGGCCAGGCTCTTACACTACAGGGATGTTTCAGGCACATTTCCCTTTGAAGCATGTGAAAGTGAAAGTCGTTCCATCATGTCCAACTCTTTGCAACCCCATGGGCTATACAGTCCATGCAATTCTCCAGGGCAGAATACTGGAGTGAGTAGCCTTTTACCTGCTTCTCCTGGGGATCTTCCCAACACAGGGATCGAACCCAGGTTTCTCACATTGCAGGCAGATTCTTTACCATCCCAGCCACCAGGGAAGCCCTTGAAGCATGTATTTTTCTGTAAATCACAATCTGTCCATGTGGAGAGAATGACTGTGTAGCACCTTTCTTCTGTGGTTTTTTTGTGTTGCTAGTTGTAATTAAATGTTGCTATTTCATTTCTTTGAGTTGGCTATATTTTGAAACATAATTACATATAGTCTCTTTGGTGATTCTCTCCAAGAATATGTCAGAATTGATTTGTATTGACTTATTCCCCCATACATTCAACAAACATTTGTCAGGTACCTATTTACAGCTAAATACTGTGGGTAATACTAAACTATATAAAACACTGGCTTTATCTTTAATAAACTTATAGAAGAGATTGAAAATATAAAAATTGATATAGCTAGAAAAATTTACAAGGGCAATACATTTATGAAATGGCTTTAATCCTAAAACAGAAAAAAAAAGGTCTCAACAGAAAGGTTAAAGCATAATTTTATTTTTACTGAAAAAACAATAACAATGTGTATGTGCATGTATGTGAAAATAGACTATATTTATAAAAGCAGAAAAGGTTTGGAAGTGAATACACTCTGAAAGATGAGATTTAGAAGGTCAAAGGAGGGTTTAATTTCTTAACTGAGACTTTGCTTTAGAGGATGTGGTTGACTTCTACCTTTATTTTCCTGCTTTTCTATATTTTAAAAATAAGTTTAAATTCAGAAGGCTTATAAGAGAGTAGTGAAATCGCTCAGTTGTGTCCAACTCTTTGTGACCCCATGGACTGTAGCCTGCCAGGCTCCTCTGTCCATGGAATTTTCCAGGCAAGAATACTGGAGTGGGTTGCCATTTCCTTCTCCAGGGGATCTTCCCAACCTAAGGATCAAACACTGCAGGGTCTCCCATACCACAGGCAGACTCTTTACCACTTGAGCCACCAGGGAATATCCCTATATAAGAGAGAGAAAGTACATAAATATTTGGAAGATACACAGATCACTTTAGCTAGAGAGATCAGAGAAACTTTCTTCAGAGAAGGAGCTGTGTTGTTGAGGTCCATAAAGAATGGGTAGGATCTGAGTATGAAAAGACCTGGAGAAAGGCTTTTCCTGCAGAAGAAATTTGGGACAGTCCGAGTCTGTCCTTTGTTAGAAATGAACACCTACATGAAATATAAGGATTCTGAAAAGTTCTACAATTTAGACACCTCCTGAACTTTATTCAAACTTAATTTAGCGATTTCCAAACTTATTCAAAGAGTTATTTAAAAAAACAAACAGGGTTTATCTTAGGAAATATCTTCATATGCAAAGGAATGAGAGGAAGACCTTTGAGGGGTGCCTCGAGAGATGAGGAAGTCCAAAGAAGCTGAAGTGAGTTTGCGAAGAGTCAGCATCGTTCATACTGAAGCAAAATCTGAAAAGTTAACCTGGTACTAAAGAGCAAAGGATGACCAGCTAAGGTGTCTGACGAGTGTGTGGGGAAGGGGAGGGTTGATAAGGCAGATGAAGGGTATATGCGTGTGAGGAATTAGGTAGCAACATTTTTCCTTCACTAGGAAAAGAGAGATTTGTGCTTTACAAAAGAGACTCTGCATTGCCATGTTCATTGCAGCATTATTCACAGCAGCCAAGACACCAAAATAACCTAAATGTCCACAAACAGATTAATAAAGACATGTGTATATGTAAAATATATATATTTATACACATATGTATTTATATGGGGCTTCCCAAGCGGTGCAAGTGGTAAAGAACCCGCCTGCCAATGCAGGAGACATGACAGACACAGGTTCAATCCTTGTGTCGGGAAGATCTCCTGGAGAAGGAAATGGCTACCTGTTTCAGTATTCTTGCCTGAAAAATTTCATGGACAGAGGAGCCTGGCAGGCTACGGTCCACGAGGTCACAAAGAGTTGGACACGACTAAGTAAACATATTTACACATTATATTCATTATATGTGTGTTCAGTCACTTAATCATGTCTGACTCTTTGCAACCGTTTGGACTGTAGCCCACCAGGCTCCTCTGTCCATGGGTCTCTCCAGGCAAGAATACTGGAGTGTGTTGCCCTTCCCTTCTCCAGGGGATCTTCCCAACCCAGGGACTGAACCCACGTCTCCTGCATTGCAGCAGATATGGATATATTATAAAAGAATAATGGAGCATTACATATAACATATGAAATACATATTCACATACAATATATATGAGTAATGGAATATTATTCAGCCATAAGAAAAAAGGAAATCCTAATATTTGTAACAACATAGATGGGCCTTGTGTCCAATATGCAAAGTGAAATAGACAGAGTAGACAAATACTGCATGATATCATTTATATGGAATCTTTGGGGAAAAAGTCAAGCTTATCAAAACAGTAGAATAGTAAGTATAGTTGCCAAGGGTTGAGGTTGGGGAACATAGGGAGAGGCTAGTAAAAGCATACACACTTTTAGTTATGAGCTGAATAAGGAACAGGAGAAGGGAGTGCAGAAGATGAGATGGTTAGATAGCATCACCAACTCAATGGACATGGATTTGAGCAAACTCTAGGAGACAGTGGAGGACAGAGGAGCCTGGTGTGCTGCAGTCCATGGGGTTGCAAAGAGTCAGACACGACTTAGAGACGGAACAACAACCACAACAAATATAAGTGTAACATTCACTATAGCTGATAACATATATGTAGATACAAATTCAGCAACCTAACAGTCACTTTTCTCCACCTTTCTTAGGCAAAAGAGGAAAGAAAAATGAAACTAATGGTGTTAATACATTCTCAGTTACAGCCAATCACAGGGAACTATTGGGAGATAAAATAATATGGGAGGGAGAAAAAAAAAATCTCTTCTTAGCAAAATTAGGCATTTTCTTAGTTTAAGAAATGTTACTTTTAAAAGGAAACTACTCTAATTTGCCACTGAATCCAGAACCCAAGAGCCAAATAAAAGACAGAAATCCAACAAGACAGGGCATGAATTGTGTTGGACTAATAATTCACACTCACTTTGGGGAAGTGTATCTGAATCAAAGCCTTGGACTGTAACTGCAAAATGATTTTATTTAAACAAACAAATATATTTATACAAGATAGGGCATGAGCTATATTGATTTTCCCTCTCTGGGAGTTGATAATTTCCCTATGATTCATTTAATTTTATCTGCATAATTTAATGTCAACTCATTTTCTTGGTCCCACATGTAGAAGACTGAATTAATTATGGGCAGAAATCCCAAGGGTTGAAACCAGCATCACATGGCAGAGTTAATTTCATCTCTGAAACAAACTACCTGATTTTTAGCAAAAAAAAAAAAAAAAATTCCATTCTTTCACTGTACAAGTGAAACTTACTGGAAGAGTAATCAAAGATAAATGTAATTCTACTATACCCGGCCTCTCAGCAGCTCATATGCTGTCACTCCCAGTGACCACCAGTCAACAGCAAAGGAATAGCCTGCTTCTCTTCTGCAGTTGAACATCTCAGGTGCTGAAAAACACAGCAGAGTTAAGTTAGTTTTACTCCCTGATTGAGTGAATTGTGCGTGTTCAGTCATGTCTGACTCTTTGTAACCCTATGGACTGTAGCCTGCCTGGCTACTCTGTCCATAGGATTCTCCAGGCAAGAATATTGGAGTAGGTTGCCATTTCCTCCTCCAGGGCATCTTCCCAACCCAGGGATTGAACCCGCATCTCCTGCATAGGCAGGCGGATTCTTTACCACTGAGCCACCTGGGGGAAGCCTGCTTTGCTCCCTGAGACATTAACAAATTTATCTTCAAACATGTTCCTTCAAAGGCAAATTACCAGGGAACAGGGTATAAACACTTCTAAGGGTGTTTATCATCCATTGCTAGATTGCTCACTGTAGGCAATTTTTCTAATTTTCTAGTCTTTCTCATTAATCACCAACACACACAGGCATGCACGTTCTTAACGGATAAGTTCTTCTTTGACTTAGAACAGGTGCCTATTAAAACTGGATCCCATCAGGCCTCAAATGTCTGGCTGACTCTGTAAGCAAGAAGGCTGAGAAGATGTTACTTCGTTGTCTTGATTTGGAAGGATTGTGGTCAGGACGTAAATTTGTATTACTGTGGCAAACAATGTTCAGAATTTGGCTCCAACTACAGGAGATTGGTTTTCCAGTTTGGAGTCATCTGGAAGGGGCAAGAGCAGCATCTGCAGCCTGATACTGGGGATAAAGGAGAGGAGAAAGGGCGGGGCGCTCAGAGAGTTTTACATCAGTCGTGGGGCATTGACTCTTTGTTCCATAAATCTTCCTTTTTTTTTTTTCAAATTGAAGTACAGTTGAATTACGATGTTGTGTTAATTACTTCTGTACAACAAAGCACCTCAGTCATACACATATATATACATTTTTAATATTCTTTTCCATTATGATTTATCACATGATACTGAATATAATTCCCTGTGCTACACAGTAGGACCTTGTTGTCTGTGCTTATTTGCTTCAGTCGTGTCCTGCTCTTTGCAACGTCAGGGACTGTAGCCCGCTAAGCTACTCTGTCCATGGGGATTCTCCAGGCAAGGATACAGGAGTGGGCTGCCATGTCCTCCTCCAGGGGATCTTCCCAGCCCAGGGATCGAACCCAGGTGTCCGGCAGTGCAGGCAGCTTCTTTACTGTCTTAGCCACCAGGGCAGCCCAAGAATACTGGAGTGGGTAGCCTATCCCTTCTCCAGGGGAACTTCCTGACTCAGGAATTGAACTGGGGTCTCCTGCATCATAGTTAGATTCTTTACCAGCAGAGCTACCAGTTGTTTATCCATTCTATATTTACCAGTTTGCATCTGATAATCTCAAACTCCCAATCCATTCCCCTCACCACATCTCCCCCTTGGCAACTATCAGTCTCTTCTCTATGTCCCTGATTTTGTTCCTCTTTCATAGATAGGTCCATTTGTGTCATATTTTAGATTCCACATATAAGTGATATCACATGGTATTTGTCTTTCTGACTTACTTCACCTAGTGTGATAATCTCTGGGCCCATTCATGTTCCTGCAAATGGTATTATTGCATTCTTTTTAATGGTTGAGTAATATTCCATTTTATATATGTACCACATCTTCTTTATCCATTCATCTGTTTCCATGTCTTGGATATTGTGAATAGTGCCGCTATGAACATAGGGGTGCACTTATCTTTTTGAATTAGTTTTCTCTGGATATATGCCCAGGAGTGGGATTGCTGGATCATATGGTAATTCTATTGTTAGTTTTTAAAGAGATCTCCATACTGTTTTCCATAGTGGCTGCACTAATTTATGTTCCCACCAACAGTGTAGGAGGGTTCTCCTTTCTGCACACCCTCTCAGCATTTGCTGTTGGTAGACTTTTTAATGATGGCCATTCTGATGGGTGTGAAGTGGTACGTTATTGTAGTTTTGATTTCCATTTCTCTAACAATTCTTTCAATTGACTCCAGTGGAAGGCAGAACCTCAGTCAATCTTATTCCAGTGGATATCTCCAAGTACATGTTATCTAACACACTGAGAATCTTCTACCCACTCTTCTAAGAATAGACCTAACTTCTGAAGGATAGGTCTCTTTGCTTGCTTGTCCAGTACTGAACCTGCCATTTAGAGTCACTCAATAGAAACTTGCTAAAAATGAACAATACTGAATTAATCAGTCAATCAAGCACTGTTTGCAAACTTTAGCTGTGAAAACAGGCTGTCTGGGCTCAAACTCTGCCTTCACCACTTACTGTGACCTTAATTGAGTTAGTGGGCTGAGCGTTAGAACCATCAGCAAAACCAGAATCATGAGAAGGCAGTTCTTACAGAGGTGAGAAACTAAATGAGCTAATGGCTGCCAAAATCTCAGCACAGTGTCTGGTACCTGGGAAGTCCTCAAAAAATTAGATACTCTTCTAGACGGACAAACATCTGTTAACACCAGAAATTTTAGCTAGCCAAAAGCTGCACACTTGACCCAAGCTTCCGGTAGTAGGATGCAAGTTCTGGACAAAGGAAATTGGTGTGATGTGGGACAAGCACATGGGTTTGCCCTGGTGCACTCAATTTCAAGTAAACTCCTGTGGGCGACATCCAGTTAGAAAGGAATGATACTGACATCCCAATGCCAGGACTGATCCTGACTGTAAAAGCCCTTAGCAGGAATAAGTAGGCTTCATCCCCTGGTGAATTCACCTTTCATGCATCACTGCATTCTTTCTGCAAGTCACAGCTCCCCACACAAGTTGGCAGATAATGGCCCCGACCCCACAGTGCCCCCACAGACTGGATGGAGTGGACTAGAACTCTGCTCTCCCTTTTCATTATCTCATAGCAAGTCATCAGACACGGTCCCACCAGGTGACAGGCGATCAATGTCTCAGAGAAGCTGCAGAGAACTTTGAGACATAAATAGACCATTGTGCTAAGAAAATATCTAACAGAATAAACATCTATAAAAGCTGTGTATTCTCTTGTCTTGGACCACCCTTGAAGTTTTTATGAGTAGAATCCTCTCCTATTTATGCTGTATTCCAGCATGAAGACATTTGAAAATGCATTTATTCGTTCAATAAATATTCACAATAGGCTAGGCATTGAGGAATTTGGGAAGAACGTTAGAACAAAGGGCAATGTATGAAAGCATGTTGTTGCTCAGCTATGTCCAACTCTTTGCGATCCCATGGACCAGAGCCCGCCAGGCTCCTCCGTCCATGGGATTTTCCAGGCAAGAACACTGGAGTGGATTGCCATTTCCTTCTCCACAAAAGCATAACGGATAGGTAATTCTTTGAACCCTCAAAGTGCTGAAAAGCCAGAGCAGGGAGACGCTGAGGGCTTCCATCAAATGTTCCATCTGTGAGGTGATACAAATAGAGGTGGCGAAGGACTGTTTCCTTAAAAAAAAAAACCATTGAGTATTTTGTTGAGTATTTTGTTTGTTTTTTAAAATATTTCCATATCTCCAGAAAAGTAAATAAAACACAAAAACAGAATTTAATAAGCAGTTATAACCAAATGGCCATGTAAACTTACAACATAGAATCTTGACCCCATCACTGGGTCCTGTCCTGTTTACAAACATAGAAGCAACCACTGTCCTGAATTTCTGTTGGTAATTTTCTTTTTGCCTTTCTACATAGATTGACTCTCTGGTTATGCATTTCTAAGCAGCAACTTAGTTTTCCCTATTTTACTAATATATATGTTATATAGATGTTATGTTTGTATGTCTATATAAGAGATGTATGTATAACATATATGCATAAATAACATGAGTATGTGTGTTTTGTGTGTGTGTGTTCAATCCTACTCCTTGTTTTCCTTGGTGTCTTGCTCTTCTTGTTCAACATTATGTGGATAAAACTTCTCCAACTTGTTACACATAATTTGTTCACATTCAAAGCTATACAAATACATTGTAATTTACCTGTTTCCTACTGTTAATAGCCATTTGGGTTGTTTTCAATTTGGGCTATTTTGAACAAGGCTCTCATGAATATTCCTGCACATGTAAGACCCTTCTAAGTCTGCCTATCTTTAGGTTACATTTCTGGGAGGGGAAATGCTGGGGATGGGCTCCTCATCTTCACATATGCTGCTGCTGCTGCTAAGTCATTTCAGTCGTGTCCGACTCCGTGCGACCCCATAGACAGCAGCCCACCAGGCTCTGCTGTCCCTGGGATTCTCCAGGCAAGAACACTGGAGTGGGTTGCCATTGCCTTCACCAATGCATGAAAGTGAAAAGTGAAAGTGAAGTCGCTCAGTCCTGTCCAACCCTTTGTGACCCCATGGACTGCAGCCTACCAGGCTCCTCTGTCCATGGGATTTTCCAGGCAGGAGTACTGGAGTGGGCTGCCATTGCCTTCTCCGTCACACATACTAGACAGCATCAAACTATTTACCTTGGTGGTTGTACCAATTAACATTCTGACCAGCAACACATGAGACTTCACTTTGTTCAACCTCCTTATCCATACTTGGCATTAACTAACCTTGCGACATTTTCCAATCTAGTGAGTATGTAATGGTCTTCCTCTGTGGTTTAAATTGGCATTCTCCTGATTACCAATAAGCTTGCCCACATTTTAATACATTTATTAGCTATCTGGATTCCCAGTATTTGGTTTACTTTTCAGATTTTAAGGCAACTGGACAGTAGGTTCTGGTCAGGACATGAAGAAAGGGTCCAAAACTAATGTATAAATTTAGTGCAATAGAAATAGTTCATGGAATTTATTAAAATGATTCTAAATTTCCTCTGTAAAATATGTGAATAATAAAGGTCTTCTGAAAAAAGGATAAAGGGACTTGCTTCTGTTAAACTGTATTATAAAGCTATAATAATTAAGATATATTGATAAAAGTCACAAAATATAGATGCTAGTACATAAAAATACTTAGTTTATGATGAACATGAATATTTTAATTGGTTAAGCTAGGTAGAAGATGATGAATTCAAAAAGCAAAACTTCCTTGTTGGGTGAAGGTGCTTAAGAACTGGCAGATGGTCCATAGTCTTATTGTCAGAGCTGAGGACCTGCTGTATAATATGTTTAGCATCTTATATTAGAACATGTTGTATATTCCTATAAACTTCATTCCGTATTTCATCCTAGTTTTCTTTCTTTTTAGAATTTGTTTCTTTCTGGTTCATTGCTAATTATCAGAAACACTTTAAAAAGAGAGCTGGTGAATATCTGTTAGGTAGATTTTACCAAATTATTGGGAATGTAACTTTCAAAAAAAGAAAGCAGACATCCACCTCTGATATCTCTTAGAAAGATTCCCATCCAAAAATCAAAGGCAAGAACAACTTCTGGATGAAGATATAAGTGCTGACAGTCAGATATTCATTTTTAAAAATACAACTAGAAATATTTCTAAGAGCTTAAGCTTGGCCTACCTCATTTGGCTTACAACCATTTAAGAATCTTACATACATATATTTTTAAATTGCTCTATCTCTCTTTTAGGGAGAAGCTTGATTTTCTGAAGTCAAAAAGAGCTTGCTTTAAATGTAGGCTTTTTCAATTATTAGCCATGTGATCTTGAGCAAATTATTTCTTTTTCACCTCATTGTAAAATGGTGATAATTACAGTTTGCCTCACAGGGTTGTTGAGAAAAATAAATGAGTCAATGAATGCAAAGCATTTAACACATTGTCTGATCCCTAGAAGGCTTTCAATAAATATTGGTAATTGTTAATTATAAAGATGAGGGTAGAGAGGGCAGAGAAACTTGACTGGATTCCATTTTCTTAGCTCTGTGTGGTGAAAAAGACTGGAAATGCCAATTTTGAGGAGAATCAAATTATACGGGTATTGTATTTAAAATCACTGGGGAGAGAAAAGAAAGATCATCTTCCTTTACTCCTCTCACCATGGAAACCAGGCCTAGAAAACCCAGATGCACATTTTCTGATTTGACTTCCACAAAATAGCCCTTAATATGGAAACCCAGGAAACCTGGGGAATAAACTCAGACCAGCAGGCTTGGAGATTCCTTTTTATCATTTGAGTACTGTGGATCTGGGGCAGAAAATAGACTGTATTGTATGTGTCCATTATTTTTAAAGTGACAAAAGAGACTTATTACCCCCACAGATAATTGGAAGCCAGGAAATCTGCAGGTGTTCAAATATCACATAAAATCAGGCTCATTTTTCCCCACAGATAACTTTTTTTTCCTCTCTCTTTAGTTCTGCAAGTAAGACAATGAAATATTGAAAGAAGGTGACAATGTTCTTGCCTTTAATTTCAAGTTCAAATATTTTGCCTGCAAACTGCTCATAGGATTATTGCGATGATAAGCCTAAAACCAGAATTATAATGGGAGGGTAGTATGTGAACTTACACCCTTATGCAGGAGTACGTAAATCATGGTTATGGTAATATTTATATATCATTTATTACCATCCCACTTATTGCTGTACCTTCTCTATTTGATTCTTTTTTTTTTTTTTAATTTTTCTCACTAGAAGGTAAGCCCCAAGCGTTGGAGACCTTGTCTGTTTTGCTCCCTACAGGATCACCAGCACCTAAAACAGTGCTAAGTACACAGAGGCAATGAGTAGGTATTTACTGAATGAACTATTAACATTCTTCATCAGGAAGGAGGCAGAAACTGTCCTTAATAATTTCTCATAAACTAACGTTCTTTACAGGTAGTCCATGGCACCCTCCTGAATCAAGATCGGACTGGATGCTTGCTAAAAGGAGATTCCTGAGGTTCACCTCAGACCTGAGAAATCAGAAGCTCTCCAGGTAAAGTCAGAGAGGGACTTGTCATCCTTAGCTGCAAGCCCCTGCAGATGACTGGACCTCCAGTACATGGTGTCCACAGGAATGAAAAAGCTCTGCTCTCAGTGGTTCTGGTGGGGGAACCATACCCATGTAAGGCTTGGTGCCAGCCACGGTGGTGATCCGCATCTCCCCGGGCAGCACTGCGGCGACGTTGAAGTCTGTGATGTGCACGTGCCCTGCGGAGAGGAGGGCACAGAGAATGTCAAATCCCATTCAGCCCATCAGCACACCGCGCTTCCCATCTAAAGTACCTGGGAGCTGACTGTACATCCTTTTATTCTCTCTCTTTTGAAAAAAAAAATGTTTTTTTTAATATTGGAGTATAATTGCTTTACAAAGTTATATTAGTCTCTGCTGTACAACAAAGTGATATGAACATTTTCATATCATGATCTATCTCCTGGAGGGGGGATGGTTTAAGACCATACTTACTGAGGACAGTATGTCCTTGAGGACAGAAAAATTGTGCTTTTACTGCCTGGAGCCAATCACAAATGGCATATAAGAACTTATAAACTAATGAACGTTATATGCCATTTGCAATTGGGTACAGACAGTAAAAGCTCACTTATTCTATCCTCAAGGCCAATAAGGCCATAAGCCATCAACTCTTCAGGAGCCAGGTCATGCTATGAAAAGATTAGTGCTGGTTGTAAATTTGTAGCTCAACCTCAGAAAGTTTTAACCTTGGTCTTTAAGAGCTCACACTCTGGAAAGTTCTCTCTGGGCAATTTTTGTCTACTGGCATCATTTTAAGTTGATACAGAATGTGAGTATCAAGAGAGGGACAGATAAGAACTATTCAAAATATCAAATTTCCAAGCATCTCTTATGGAATCTTTTAAAGAGAAAAACATTTATACAAAGAGAACATGACTGTGGATACACATATTAGTCGATATTTCTTTGCTAAGAAAGAGTTCTTCCCTCTCCTTGTTTTTCTGAAATATCCTCAGGAGCTTTTTGTCTGATAGTTCAGATTGTCCCCCAGTGATCACCAATAAAATAATATATCAAGGGAAAGTAGGGAAGAAAAGTCAAGTTCTACCTTTAAAGAGGTTGTTTAAAGAGCCCTAAACTGGGAGCTAGGTGAGCTGGGTCCTGCCTTGAATTCTGCCCCTAAGACTTTATAGATTTGAGGTTGCTTTCCTGTGCTGAACATAAGTTTCCCTTAAAAACAAAAAGGAACGAGCAGACTTGATGATGTCTAGGTCTCTCCTCAGCTTTAATACTTATGGCAATACTGTGTGGGTCTAACACTCAAGTTCAGCAGAGAGCAACCCCTACCGAGTGTACCAGTGTCCTTGTGCTCACAGCCAGACATAGGAAAGGGCATTACCAGCCGCTCAGGCAGACAAGCTCATCGTGTTGGTTGGCATGAATGTTATATGCTTTGAGAGGATCTTGGAAGTGTTGGCATTTCCATTTGCATGCTTCTGTGGTTGTGATGAGATGTGGTGGTAATTGGAGGGGGTGCCATGGGATTGTTCTTCCACATCCCACAAACCCCACTCCCCCTGCCAACTTCACTGTCTGCTCCCCAACAGCATCCAGTTCACTCCTAATGATAAATCTCGCTGTCTTTATCACCAGGGTTTTGTTTGATGCAAAAAAAAAAAGTATTTTGTTTTTATCTGATGACATTTTAATAAAGTAACAGTAGCTGAAAGTGAAGGCATTCTTACATAAATGGTTCCAAGAGATGATTTCAAGAGCTTGCACTATTGTAATATAGGTTGTTTCAGTATTTTCTTTCTGTTTCTCCCTCATGTTCAAAGCACTGGCTCTTTGGTTCACAAGGTTTGATACAAAATAGAGGAGTCTGGAGACTTAGTGGTTAAAAGCTTGTTCTCTGGAGTCTGATTGCCTGACTTTAAGTTCCAGCTCTACCATTGACTAGCTGTACTACCTCAAAAAGGTGACTGATCCTGACTGTAAAGTTGGGATGATAATAGTGGTCTTCTCATGAGGTTGTCGGGAAGATCAAATGAAATAATGCTGTGGAAGACTTAGCATTTCACAGGAAGTATGTATCATCCAGTTGTTGCTATTTCCCATGATCAGATGCTCTGGCGTCATTTTGCAAAACACACGTGCCTAGACTTCTCTCTCTTAAGACCCCAGTGCAGTGGGATGGGTGGGAGAAACAGGTATCCAGGTTAAAAATAGTACCAAGAAACTCCACAGGTGATTCAGATGGGCAGCCAGGCATGGGATCCTTGACTTTAGCCTGAGTAGGTATTCTAAGCCAAATCAATCCTGAGACTGACTATGCTCATGTAGAAGTATTGGGTTGGCCAAGGAGTTTGTTCAAGCTTTTCCATACGCGGTTATGGAAAAACCCGAATGAACTTTTTGGCCAATGCAGCAGCAGATAGAGGATGCTTTAGAACCATTTGGTTCTCACTGTGTGCGGTCCCCAGACCAGCAGCATCAGGAACGTGATAGAAATGCAGACTCCTGGGCCCTGTCCCCACCTACTGAATCAGAAACTCTGAGGGTGGGACCCCGGTGTTTAAGCAAGCTCCCCAGGTGATTCTGATACCCAGTTCATTTTGAGACCGTGCTTTTAAAAGAAGACCTGGCTTAGTAGAAAATCTTGACCACAGTTAGTACGCATTTGTGGTTGAAAGAGTGTTAATTTTATCGTATAAGTAGTATTTGAATTTGTATGATTAATTGCAATTTTCAAAAGGTTTTCACACACTTTGGCCTAGTGAAGTCATCCCTATTTCAGAGAAGAGCTGTTTGTGGCTAAGTTCTCAGTGTTTCGAAGTAGCAGAGTTGGAATTAGGATCTAGCATTTGGCCCAGGACTCCTTTGGTGAGTTATGAATTGTCCAGAGACTTTTTGCACTGTATCATAAGACCAAGATCTGTAGAAACTCAAAGCACGACCTTCTGATTGGCTCAGGGTTCTCTCACCAGGATGTATAGTAAACGATGGGGAGGAATTATCTGCGGGTCGACACCTACTAGAAACTGTACCCCAGTGCCCTCACACTGAACAAGGAAGGCAGAGCCTCACGGAGCCTAGGGCCACCAGCCCGACGTCTCAGCTCCAGGCCCAGGATGCTGCTCTACTTTCCCTTGGCTTACCTTGGGGACCTTTCTGCCAAGTTCCCCTCTGTGCTGTGGAAATGAAACTGAGTGCTGGCTCACAGAGGAAGCTCTGGTTGCCCCACTAACGGAGGGACATAGAAATTGCTTTGGAGTGAGGGACCCCTCTGGCTTTTCCCATAAGTCCTGGCCCTGAGGGAGCCTTAGATCAGAGTTTCTCAACTTGGAACTGGCTGAGAACTTGGACCTGATCATCCTGTGTGGTGAAGGGCTGGCCTGGGCATGGTGGAATGCCTACTTGCATCCTTGGCCTCTATCCACCAGATGCCAAAAGTACTGCCCACTCCTGGCTGATACACTGACCATCAGAATTGTCTGCAGACATTGTCTCACCTCTGCAGGGAGAGACAGTAGAACAAAAGCATCCAGTTAGAACCACTGCCTTACTGTGAAGTTTCCAAGTACAAGGCCCAGAACTTCCTGATTGAGTGCCCTAGGGAGCCATCTGCCTGTTCTTTTCAGCTCTGTATCTTGAGGCACAGAATCACATTAAAAATTGGAGCTCACAGTATTGAGTCACTGAATTTAGTCATCACTGCAGTCATTATTTATACTCTTTCTTACTGAGCATGTGTCCAGCATGAGGATGCTTCTCAACACAGCCCTCAAGGACACTATAACCAATTGGTTGGCATGGCTCCTAGCCTTCAAAACTTTCCCTAACTCAAAAACGGTGCCACAGATTTCTAGGATTCTTATTAAAAATTTATACCCTTAGACACTAGCTGAGATTTATAAATCTGATTGTCTGGAGCTAAGGTACAGTGTCCTACTATGTGTGTGTGTGTGTGTGGTATATGTGTGTGTGTCTGCTTATACATAAAAATGCTAACACTTGATTTTTAGGTACATTTTGGGACTCTGCAAAGGAGAAGATATTAAAGTAGCAGGCTCGGTTCTTCCTCACACCCCTAAACTGAGTTTTTGCCTTTCTCTGTTCCCTGTGACCAGGGAGGGTATCAAGAAACCTAAATTATAGATAATGTGGTAATTGTCATTCTCTCAGATATACCAGTGAGATGTTATTCTTCCTTTGTAGGCAGCACTTATTTCCTGAATAATTTAGAAAAAAACACAAGAATCTTAGACACTATGGAACTGTTAGAATTGGATGGAGTACTTAAGTTGCTAGGATATGGAAACCATGTATCAGAACAGTTGGTTATGAGCCATCCAAGATCTAATGCCATCTCAGGCTCTGAACTAGTGAGTGAGCCATTTAAGTAGGACAGTAAAAGTATGCTCTAAATTAAAAAAAATTTTTAAGTCAAATTCTGATGTGTAAGGAATGTTCATTCATACCAGTAGAAGGACTCTCCATTTACAAAAGGATTTGGTTCCTTTAAATATCAATCTTTTCTGATGAATGAACCAGTATGACTCAGTAAGAGTAATACAAAGTTTCTGCCTGTTACCGATGGTACTGAATTTAAATATAAGCCACATGGTGTAATACACAGCTCACTTGGAGAAATGGGAATAGCAGGTGTATCAGAAAGGAGCAGTTATCTATGCAATTGCTGAAGCCCCATGCAAAAGGCATATATGAACCACCAGGAATTTCATGTCAGAGTATTGGGTTGGCCAAAAAGTTTATTTGGGTTTTTCCATTACATCTCAGGAAAAAAGCCAAAAGAACTTTTTTCCAACCCAATAGTCAGTTGGGTTGGCCAACAATGCCTGAAAGCTAGGTTATTCGAAATCTAAAAAAACAGACAGTAAATAACCTCAAAAAATTACTTTTTCCAGAAGAGATCCCAAGGACAATGCTTAGAGAATGACCCTCAATCTTGTTTATTTTCATCTCTCTCTCATTCACGTACCCAGTCCTTCCCAAGATAGTGTTTCTCTAATTGACTGCAATTATTTGCCAATTGAATTTAGGATGGGAATAAAATACAGAGAAGCTCCTCTTAGATCACTGTTCAAGCCCCAAAGTTTAAGAGTGAAAAGTGTCTTTGTAAATAGTATACCAGGTAACAGGTGTAGTCAGGGAACCAGGCAGCGTGGGTTGCTGGCTTTCAATCCCTAAGCAGTAGAGCCACAGTCCAAATAAAATGCCCTCAAAAAGTGGGCGTTAGCCTCCTATATGCATGAGGGAAAGGCAGAACAGGCCATCGAAAGTACAGTTACCTGAGAATTAAGGGTCAGACAAAATTGTTTAAACATAAGACCTGAGAAGTAGATGTGGTTTATATATATATGTGGTATATCCCTTTTGGAATCAAAATATCAATAATTCTTTAGTAAAGTCAAGTAAGGATCCAGCTTTCAGTGCCCACGTGATATAAAGTAACATAAAATATGATGAAACCGTCTAAGCTTCCTTTCTTCGGGGAGAAGACCCCTACTACATCCTGGAGACATAGGAGTATTTGACTGTTAATTGAGTGATCTCTTTGGGCACATGGCAGTCAAACACTTAATGCAGTTATGTCAGTTTGTATTTACGATGACCCTGAGAAGTAAGAACTCCTTTCATGCCTGAAGAATTTAAGGTGCAGAGAAGTTTTACACAACCTGTTGAGGGTCTCAGAGCTGGTAAGGGACAGAACAGGGTTCTGAGCTCAGGCAATCCAGCTCTAGAAACCACTCTCTTATCTACAATGCACGTGTGCTCCATCACATCTGGTTCTTTGTGACCCTTTGGATGACAGCCCGCCAGGCTCCTCTGTCCACGGGATTTCCCAGGCAAGAATACCAGAGTGGGTTGCCACTTCCTCCTTCAGGGGATCCTCCTGACCTGGGAATGGAACCCGCATCTCCTGCACGGGCAGGTGAATTATTTAGCTCTGCACCATCTGGGAAACTTTATCTACAACTTCAATCAATTTTTCCCGAGGGTAGTCTCTAAGGGTGTTTACATTTGAAGATTAATTTATTCCTGGATCTTCTCCTAATCTACAATCACCAAGTTGATAAGAAAATGAGAAAGAGAAAGATTTTGAATGAGATCTGGATGACCTCATGGTAGAAAATAAGATGAAGTCACACTGGAGATCCAAGACTGAAATGTTGTTCTCCAAATGGAAGGTGACTTTTGGAAAGGTTTTGGTTGATAGGAGGTGACTTTTGGAAAGGTTTTGGTTGACAGGATCAATATGTCTCCTTTCAGGATCCTGACAAATATTCGGGCAATACACTGGGCACAGAGGCAAGCAGTTGAGAAAGAAGTGGGGACAGAACCCCAAACCAGACTCTGTGTGACCAGTGCTCACCTTCCCAAGACTGTGTCGGGCACACAGGGCACCTTTTTCTATCATGTTGTGCAGAGGTAGCCTCTAGTGGCTAGGGTTGTGACGCTGACAGTTGTGAAGCTCCACAAAGTTTATTGGTACCAGCATGAGGGGGATCCTGCTTCCTACTGAAGGCAGAGATAGCTGGTGTTTTCATGAAAGTCACCTTCATGTTGTCTCACCAGTGTCCACATTTCTGAGTTTCAGAGAATCTGTTCCCAAATGTCAGAAGCAGTAAAGGAAAGGAAGAAGTAAGGCATTGGAAGAAAGTGGAAAAAATCTTTTTAGACAGTCCATAAATAAATAATGATGCTGAGCTTTGAAATTAGAGGTCATACAGAAAAGTATTTCTTGGCACTCAGAGCACACGTGGCAAACCAGGTTTAAAATGCAATTAGGTAAATAAATAATGAACCACGGATAGTCTGTGGAATTTCAGTCCCACTTGTAAATCCCTTTTGTAAAAGTCAGATGAGTACAGAGCTTTGCAGATTTAGGACTCCATCACCCAGCAGCTGTCTGAAAATTTAACAAGGATCTTATTGCCTCTAACATTTATAACATGCAGGCTGTGTGTCCTATAACTGCACTGATGTACCAATAAATCCAAATGTCCATTAAAATAATATCAGGAGGAGATTATATACATTTAATCACTGTTGGCCAAAGCTTTTTCTACAGGACATCTTCAATCAGTGTTTCTTGAACTTCAGGTGTTCATTTTTCACCTTCATGGTCACTGCCTTATCCCTCTGGGTACCACCTAAACTCTTACCTACTTTATATGTTTCTTTAAATGGACTGATTTTTTGTTAACTGAAAATGGTTGGACAAAAAACTTAATATCTCTTAAATAAATGTAAAAATTTGCCCTGATGAGAAGAAAATCCTAAAAGTAGACAAAATGAGAACAAAATAATGTCATGAATCTCTAAGTAGATTGGGCACACAGGGCACCTTTTTCTATCATGTTGTGCAGAGGTAGCCTCTAGTGGCTAGGGTTGTGACGCTGACAGTTGTGAAGCTCCACAAAGTTTATTGGTACCAGCATGAGGGGGATCCTGCTTCCTACTGAAGGCAGAGATAGCTGGTGTTTTCATGAAAGTCACCTTCATGTTGTCTCACCAGTGCCCACATTTCTGAGTTTCAGAGAATCTGTTCCCAAATGTCAGAAGCAGTAAAGGAAAGGAAGAAGTAAGGCATTGGAAGAAAGTGGAAAAAATCTTTTTAGACAGTCCATAAATAAATAATGATGCTGAGCTTTGAAATTAGAGGTCATACAGAAAAGTATTTCTTGGCACTCAGAGCACACGTGGCAAACCAGGTTTAAAATGCAATTAGGTAAATAAATAATGAACCACGGATAGTCTGTGGAATTTCAGTCCCACTTGTAAATCCCTTTTGTAAAAGTCAGATGAGTACAGAGCTTTGCAGATTTAGGACTCCATCACCCAGCAGCTGTCTGAAAATTTAACAAGGATCTTATTGCCTCTGTAACATTTATAACATGCAGGCTGTGTGTCCTATAACTGCACTGGTGTACCAATAAATCCAAATGTCCATTAAAATAATACCAGGAGGAGATTATATACATTTAATCACTGTTGGCCAAAGCTTTTTCTACAGGACATCTTCAATCAGTGTTTCTTGAACTTCAGGTGTTCATTTTTCACCTTCATGGTCACTGCCTTATCCCTCTGGGTACCACCTAGACTCTTACCTACTTTATGTGTTTCTTTAAATGGACTGATTTTTTGTTAACTGAAAATGGTTGGACAAAAAACTTAATATCTCTTAAATAAATGTAAAAATTTGCCCTGATGAGAAGAAAATCCTAAAAGTAGACAAAATGAGAACAAAATAATGTCATGAATCTCTAAGTAGATACTATTGCCTACCAAATGCGCTATACTTGAGGTCTCTTCTGCCTTTATGGGAAAAAAAAAAAAGGAAGATAATTGCTATAGAGATATTAAGGCAAACTAGCACCCCAAAACTGGGGTGGTTTTCTTGAAGAAATCAGTAGAAATGGAAGAAAACTGAAAAGAGAACAACTTTTTCCTTATGTAAATTTAAGGCTATTTATGGGTGTACTAGTGTAGTTGTCCCCTACCCATTTGGCACCAGGGACCAGTTTCATGGAAGACAGTTTTTCCATGGACCAGAGCAGGAGGTGATGAGGAGTAGGGGGGCGGTAATGGTGTAGGTGGTAATGCAAGTGATGGAAATTGATGGGGAGCAGCAGATGAAACTTAACTAGCTGGCCAACCTCTCACCTTCTTTGCAGCCTGGTTCCTAAAAGGCTGTGGACAGCTATTGGGCACCGCATACTAGTATACTATGCCACTGCAATAAATGATAAAGTTCCCCCATGTGGTCTGTCCCACCATTAAATAGAGTTTGTACAAACAATGCAATTGAACCAAGCAAGACACTTTTTCCATGTATAGTTCTCCTCTGCTGGAGATAATCAATTTGTTGCACATGTGTATCAAGTGGTTGATTGCAAACAAATCATTTACTTACCATGTTCATCAAGCAAAATATTGTCAGGTTTCATATCCCTAGGGAAGGAAAAAGAAAAGAGAAAGTAGCTCATAATAAAGCAGAACTATAGAGTCGGACCAGACTGAACAACTGAACAACAACAACAAAGGATAAAGGAAATTCTCAAGAATGGTAGCGAGGGTTGAAACAATGTACTAGCCTTTCATCACAATCTCAATGAATCCTCACAGTGAACTGAGATGGTAATACTCCCAATTTCTAGATCAGAAAATTGAGGCTTAAAGAAGTTAAGTCACTTAATCCAAGGTCACAGAGCTAGTTAACAGAAGAACTGGGCTCTGAACCTGGGTCTTTTTCATTCCAAAGCTCTTAGACCCTTAAATTCTATAGTGGGTTAGAGCCAAGCAAGTAAGTATTGCCCCATAGATCATATGGCATTTACGTTGTCATAAGGCAGTAGCACTGATCATCACTGTTGTCTGTGTAACTCTGGAGCTACACAGATGAAGTGAATTTAAAGACTGTGAGAAACAAAATGGTCTATGCTGTGATTATACTTTTTTTTTTTTTTTAGAGAAATAATGGTTTGCTCATACTCTCTACACCTTAGGTCTTAACAAAACATAAATTAATGGGTAGTAAGTCTTGACTGAGATGAAGCAGAGAGACACACTATGAAACTTCAGATTCCTGAATATAGATTGATGAAGATGCTAATGATATAATGCCTCTGATCTCTTCTAGTTTTTCACAAACTAAGAAAGAGGGCTCCTATGTAACTCAAAAAATACCCCAGGCAGAACCTTTTACATGCATTTCCAAAACTGTGATTATACTTTCAACTTGCAGAGATTAGAATCTTTCTTAGGATGATGTTAATGCCTCTAGTGACACAAAAAGTCTTATTCCTAGGGTTGTTAATTAAAGGATTTGGACCAGTCTTCCATGCACTGATAAGTTCCTTAAATCCACATAAAGGAATACAACCCACCCTCATCCGATGAAGGGAGTAGTTTGATGGTAGATACTCAGAGGTTTGATGGTAAATACTCAGAGGATTGGTCTGTAGAATTTTTAAAAGTCCTCCAGAAACAAATATTACTGTAAGCAGTGTCCTCAGTGAGAGCACTGCTCTGCAGTTCATAATAGCCCTCACTCGTCCACACTCCTGCTTTCACTGCCCTTCCCTAACAAATCATTAAAGCCCTTCAACCCAAATTCACAGAAGTCATTAGGGAAGAAATTCTGCAACCGGTTTGGGATTACATTTTTCAGCCTAGTCAAGAGGCTTTTATGTTGTTAGAATAAGGTGACCTGAGCCTTTGACAGACTGAGATTGTCAGAGTCCTCTTTTCTTGACACTATTAATGAATAACAAGCCTCTTACCTGCAGAGAGAACCAAGTATGTTCCCCACCCAACAGTACACGGGTACTTTCATAAGGTTTAAATATCTTCTCATTTAGTTCATTAGTTTCTTAAAATTAGTTCTGGATTCATAAGTGATCATTTGTGGCTGTGGCAAATTTTTCTCTTGTTCAGGGTACAATTTATTAGAAACAGAGCGGGAGGGGGTTTCAAACTGGATGTTTCTCTGGCTAAAGTCTCAATATTTCAGACCCCATCCCATGCCCTCTGATGGATTTCATTTCAAAAATTATCAAGTCTAAACTCATTCATATAGAATGAAAGGCCCTCTTAGTCTGACTCCTGGGCGACAGCCACATAGAGTACATGGAGATTCCTAAATGCCCCCTCCATCCCTTCACCTTCCGTTGTTCCTTTGTGTGAATCAGAGCCTTGACCTGCTACACCCAGAAAATCCAGATTCACCTCTCACTCTCAGGGAGAGTGGCATAGCTCAGATGCCACTTCCTATAGGGAGCCTCTCCTGATTTTCCATTTCTGAGTCAGTGGCCCTTCCTACATGCTCTGCATGGTACACTTCTTCCATCATAACATTTATCACACTTCTATTAATTTTTTTCCCCAACTGGATCATGAACTCCTTGATGGCAGGGACAGCTTCTTGATTAATATATAAACCAGGATATGTAAGAGCACCATAGCGCACCATCAAACACTCTGCAGCTTAAAGCTCAAGGTGAACCAAGCATTAGGCTCTTGCCACCTCTTTCAGACTGGCATCAGCGACATCAGGTAGTGTTTCCAGATGAGGGGGAGGCTCTGAGCAACCCTGCCTGGAACGGAGCGGCAGAATGAACATAATGATTTCATGGTCTGAATTTATGAGGGTTGGCTGGGAGGAATGAACTGCGATGGTTTTGTCAATTTATGGGCTTTCTATTAAATTTCTAGACATCATTTAAAAAAATTTTTTTTTTGTTATAGCCACACTTTGTTATATCCACTACTTTCCCCAGAAACTTCCTTTCAGCTTAAAGAACAGCACAAAGATCAGAGAGGTCATATTTTAAAGGTGGTATGTCCTACTTCAATCTGACATTCATTTACTCCTCAAACATTTGTCTACTTTGATAAGTCACTGTGTTAGAATATGGGAAATAGATACATGAGATCAAGTTGCCCCAGGGATGGAGAGGGTGAGAAAGGTTCACGAGGAAACTGGTCAAGGGGGTTCAAAGTGGTAAAGAGGTATGTTTATTGCTAAATTCAGAGAAAGGATATGAGAAAATATCCTTTCTCTGTAGAAAAGGGAAAGTAGACTCTTAACAGAAAAATGAAGTATATAAGCAGAGATTCTGAGTACACAGTTTCTCTCAAAAGTGATGAAGTAACCTCTCAGTCACTAAGGGTGAATAGCAGTGTGATAAGACTGTTTATTCATGTAGCAGGAGAAAGGAAATGAAAATAAACCCAGGTGCTGTATTAAAATTTCTTCTAGAACAAGGTGAGATTTTCTAGTTCAGAAATGCAGCACCACCTCTTATCTTTTTCATCTTTTCCAATAATCCTGAATGGTTTCCTTCATTTAAGGCAATCTCTAAGATGGTTTACCTGGGTAATTACCAAGCCTGGCTATTCCTAAAGTCACCCAGGCAAGCTGAAAATATGCACCCTAATTATTTCCTCACTCCCATCTCCTGAATCATTCTTCTGCCATCACTAGAGCCTACCCCCTGTGCAGTATGACCTGTCTCATATACCTTTTATTGCCAACCCTGACATTCTAGACTAATAATAAATGAAATTTTCTGCCTGATGTTTCCATCTGTATGTTTAGCAGCCATGATAAATATAAATATATGTCCTAAAGAGACCCTTTGATATCCATCACATCCAACACAAACACCAAAACCCTCTTATCCCCAAGGCCCTTAGCCTAGTATACCATACCAATATTCTCCCATTATAAAGACAAAAACATTGGGAGATCATTATTATTTCTTCTTTTTCTCTTAACTCATAATATCAGCCCCTTAGCAGCCTTGAAAATTTGACCTTTAAAATACAATGATCTAAGACACTATGATGGTTCTTTAAAAAAAAAAAAACATGAAATTAATACTCGATCCAGTATTTCTGCTTCTGGGTATATACCCCAAAGAAGTGAAAGCAGGTATTTGAACAGATATTTGTAAAAAAATAAAATAAAATGCTGATATGTTCTCGAATATGGATGAACTTGAAGATGTTATGCTAAGTGAAATAAGTGAGGCACAAAAGAACAGTTATTGTATGATTCCCCTTATAGGAGATCTTTAGATTGAACAGTCAAATTCACAGAGACAGAGAACTGAATGATGGTTCTCAAGGACTGGGGGAAAGAAGGATGGATGATTTATTATTTAATGTTTATAGAGTTTCAGTTTGAGATGAAGAAAAAGTTCTGGAGATGGACAGTGGTGATGGTGGCATAACAGTGTAAATGTACCTAATGTATTTTTCACTTAAATATGGTTACAATGATAAATTTTATGTGATGTATATTTTACTACAGTGAAATACACACACACACACACACACACACACAAGAATTACCATCTCCAAAACCACCACCATCATCTTTTAGTTGAAATTTGTAATAGTACCTTGTTCCTGCTTCTCCTCTTGTTCCCTGACAATCCATTATCCACACAGCACCCAGGGTGGGGGTTTTCAATACACACACCTTCCCTGCCTAAGGTCCTCCACTGGCTCCTAACCCACATGGGATAAAATCTGAACCATTTACCCCTGGCCTTATATGACCTGCAGATGCTCTAGTCCTGCAGAACCCTGAGCTACATCTCATAGCATCCTCTCCCTACCATGCACCATGCTTCGGCCACGCTGCTCTTCTTGGTCTCCTGTGAACATTGCCCTCTCTACCTACAATTCTGTCCCCCTGCATGGCTTGTTTCTTCTTGTCATTCAGATCTCAGCTAAAATATCACATCCTCCAAGAAGTTTCCTGACCACTCATCTCCATCTTCATCTCTTCCCCTCCATCCTATTTTCAGTACAACACTATCATTACATATTTTTTTCTTATTTTTTCATTATTTGTCTCCCCTCCACGCCTCTGAATGTAAGTTCTCAGAGAAAGGACATCTTTTCTGTACTGTACTGTTCACTGCTGTAGCTTCCAAGCTCATCAAAGTGCCCAGAATAAAGTTAGTGCTTGAATAAATATTTGTCAGAAAAATGAGTGCGTTTGGTCCCTTGGCATCTCCAACCTCAGGAATAATAAGCCACATCTTTCTTTTTCTTCTACAAAGAGAAAAACAAAAGCAAAAGAACAAGAACTACAACAGCAACAAAACACCCTCCATCTCTGCCTGTCTGTCTTAGTTCTCAGTTGTGTCTGTCTCTATGCGACCCCATGGAATATGTAGCCTGCCAGGCTCCTCAGACCATGAAATTCTCCAGGCAAGAATATTGGTTTCCTCCTCCATCTATGCAAGATGCACTGTATTTACTGTTGGCAACAAAAAACCCAGTCATTTGTGGAGTGCTGAAGTGCTCTAGGAACACACACATTCTGTAGAAAGTTCTCATTACATCTTGACTTGATGAAACAGAAAAGGCCAGGTCCTGCTGAATCAGCTGATTCCTACTGTGGGGTCTATAAATAGAGTGTGGAAATGCAGTGC